TAAAAAAATTTATAAAAAAAAAAAAAAAGACTGACTTGGGAAGAGGTCTAAACTGGGGTGGAGGAGATAGACCCTGGACACTGTGGGTGGGTTTGGGTAGGACAGGGTATATTAAATGTTTGTGGGGGATGACATACGAGTGACTGACTGGGTATGGGTGATCTTGGGTGGCCTCGGCCTGCAGCGGCTTGAAGCAGTATTTCCGTTCTCTGGCCAGAGACTGAAGTCAGGCCGTGGCAGTGAGAGCGCTGAATCCTAGCCACTAGACCACCAGAGGACCAGTGGCCAGTGACAAGGTCCTGTCCCGTCAGCTGTGTAGAAATGAATTTCCACAAAGAGATGGAAAGTAGTGAAACAAGTAAAGTGTTTATTAGGAGGAAAAAGGGTACGTGTGGATAGACACACGGGTGGACTCAGAGAGAGTCGCGCCCTCGTGGGTAGTTTGAATCACTTATATGGGGCATTTCTTCCAGGTTTCCTTTGGCCAATCATCTTACTTTCTCTGCCTCTGCGTCCATACTTGGTTTACCTCAGGGTCCTCCCACGTGTGCGTGAGCAACTCTTAGCCAAGATGGATTCTAGCAAAGAGATCTATGGATAGGTTGGCATCACTTACTGTGGGGTGGCACCCCCTCCTTTTTGACCTCTGAGGAGCCTTCCTGTGCATGTAGAGTCTGGAAGGTCTCCTTGACCTCACGAGAAATACGTGGTCTCTTATCTGGGCGGGGCTTAGCTCCTCCTCCTCTTCATCTTGGAGTATCTGCCCACAGGGCACAAACTCCAGCTACTCAGCCTGGGGCCCATCTATCTCCTGCCTCATGGAGAGCAGGTAGGGGTGTATGTCCCTGTGGAGATAGATGCAGAATATTCTCTTTGGGATCTGGCAGCTGAAGATAAGCCGGGCCTGGGAATTCCCTGGCTGTCCAGTGGCTAGGACTGTGTGTTCTACTGCAGGGGGCAGGGGTTCGACCCCTGGTCAGGGAACTCAGATCCTGCATGCCATGCAGTGCGGCCAAAGAAAAAAAAAAAAAACGATTAGCCAGGGCCTTTAAGAACCTCTGCCCATCTTCTCAATCTCCCAAGAACTTCCAGCTTCCCTGTAAGGTCTCCCCTCCCCAACCTTCTGCCTACTCAACTCAGAGATGGTGACCCCAGCCCCAGAGGTGACCCCTCTGCCATCCTCAGCGGCTGGTTTCCACCTCAAGCACCCCTCCTGCCCTGGATGGGTCTCCCTTTGCCCTTATTCTTTGCTAGAACCTCCTCTATGACTTGTTCCTGACCCCCAGTCCATGTGTTCCCCACCACATTGGGAGCACTTCATGGGCTTGTCAAGGCCCGAGCTGTGCCGGGACTTAGCAATTAGCAGGGAACGTGGTTGAATGAATGCAGGGAGGTGCACTGGTAAGTGGGGGTGGGCGGAAGTAGTGAGATGTATATACAGGGGACTCTTGATGGGGCCCAAACCCTGGGGGCACTGGGCAGGACGTGGTGGACCCCTGAACGGTACAAGTGTCATGTGTGTGCACTGGGGACACTGGAGGTGAACACTCTGGGGCACCATTCATCAGGGTATGTGTACGGGGGAGGCTCCGTGCAGGTACAGGATATGGCAGACAGACCCTGGATTCCCAGACTCCTGGACCCTTCCTCTGACCCTCACGCTCAGTCCTTCTTGCTCTGAGGGGAGGGGCAGCAGGGTCCAAGAGAGCTTAGGGCTGAGGTGTCCAACAGGTGTGTGCTGGGGATATGCTGATTCCACTGGGGAGGTAACACACACCCAGCTGGCCATTCGACCTCCCCCGCCCTGGGGCAGGAATGAGGGACAGGTGCCACATTATCAGGGATATATTTTCTGGGAGCCCAAGGCCTGACTCACAGAGGCCCAGGAGGCAGAGGCCCGCTCCCTGGGGCTTCCCTGCCCCCCCCCGCCCCCCCCAGGTCCCTCAGCCTGCCCCCAGTAACGCCACAAAGTCACACATGTCTCTGTTTACACCTTTGTGGTCTACTGGCTCCCCCTGCCCTCAAGCATGCCAGGGCCCAAAATAGCTGGGCACTGAGGCCCAATTGTCTGAAGCCGCTGCAGTCTAGGTGGGTGGGGCGCTCAGGAGGTTCTGGGTAAGGGAACAGAGCCGGTTGGGCCACATTCCAGCCCCACCAGGTAGGAAGCAGAGGGCTGGAGGGGGTGGGGGAGGTGAAGGGGAGGCGGCCCAGGGACCCAGGCCCCCTCAGCCCTGGATCAGGAGGGTCAGTAGCAGCAGGAAGAGAGCAGCTCGAGGGGAACCTGAGGCCCTGGCCATGTCAGGGGGACAGAGGTCGCCACCTTCTGGGAGCCAGTGGGGGAAGCCACTGGGGGGCAGGAAATGTGCCTCCCCCACTGTCTGGGAGATCCAGGTCTCTTCCGGTCCGATGGCGGCAAATAGCTCCCTGCTGCCTCGAATAGCCATGCCCACGAGGACCCAGGAGCCTTCCTCAGTCTGGCACAGGAGCGGAGGTGCTGAGGTCACCTGCAGCATCAGAGCCAAGACAAAAGGGTCTCTTACCCTTCCTCCTGGTCCCCTGCACCTTCTAGGGCCCAGCCACAGAGCACAGCTTGCCTCCATCCTCAGGCATCTTGGCGCCTGGCCTCTCTCAAGGTTCAGCCAGGAAGCACTGCTTCTTCCTAGCTGAGACCCAGTACCCAAGAATTCCAACCCTGCCCTCTCCCTGGTGTCCAGCTGCCCAGCACTGCCTCTCCCCTGCCTGGACCAGGATACCCAGGCTCCGTACCTCACACCTGTCCTCCTGCCCCTCTGCATACAGGACACAGAGAGTTCCAGGGGGCAGAATGCCCTGATAGAGGCAGTGACAGAGTCGTGGTGTCAAGATGGAGACAGCAGCAGCCACAGGGACTAGAGAGAGGAAGGAAGGTTGTCCCAGGGATTCTGGTATCCAGCCACTTCTCACCCCCAGGACCCAGGGCTCTCACCTCGGTCCTGGGGGTCCTTCCAGCCCAGCACCCAGCAGCTGGCCCCCAGGGGAGTACCCCCTGGGTGAAGGCAGATGGGCAAGGCTGATGGGGAGGGCTCCACCCGGGAGCTCAGCTCCAGGAGGGCTAGGGGGGGCCGAAGTCCCAGGTGCCGGGGCAGGCGGATGCTCATTACCAGCCGGGATACCTGGTGACTCTGTGGGAGGGGGCTGGCCCCAGCCCGGCCCAGGTACACTTCAATATAAGGCACTGTTGTAGAGCCCAGCCTGTTGGAACAAGGTCCAGTGTCATTTCCTGTTCCCCTCATTGCTGATAAAGTCCTTCCCAGTCCGGGGGGAAAGGGTGGAATGAATCTCCAGGGTCATTCCACTAACTCCTTCATTCATTATTCCTCCTTCCAAATCTCTCTTTGTCTCAAAACACTTCGCAGCAATTACCCTGTGCTATAAAAGCCCTAAAGGGAGAACAAACCTCTATTGAAAGAGTCCTTTGGCCCATCTTCCAATTTTTCCCTCTTGCCAGGGAGAAGGGTGAGACCCACCTGAGGATACAGTGAGTGGCTGCCAGGACCCAGCCTGGGGCCACGAGGATCCCAGTGCAGACTCGCTCTCCAGCTACATGCACCTCTGCCAGCCAGGGCCACAGGCCCCCCGTCAGAGCCGGCTCTGGCCGCAGTCCACAGGCTAGGGAGAAGAGGCGACTCCCTCAGTGGGGGCCCAACAGCTGACCCCCAAAGCCCCTACCATGGATCTAAGCACTCCCAGGAGCCCCTAAGCCCCAAAGGCACCTCCTCACCGCCATGCTCTGTGTGAGGGGGACAAGTTTGTGTCTCAGTCTCCTCCCCCTCAGGGCCCCAGTCCCAGGCCAGCTGGTCCTCCAGGTAGGCTCCCCGAGTCACATGGCTGATCCATGGGCCGTGGGTCTGCAGCGGGTAGAAGGCTCTGGGACGCAGGCAGTCACTGGGTAAGTCTCTGATTCCAGCCAGGAACCAGGTCCCCTCTTCCCGGCATAGAAGGCTCCAATGAGAGTAGTTCTGCAACGAGAGTGTGTGTGTTACCAGCCTCTAGTTGTGTGCCAGTTGATGAGGGGCTGCCAAAGGTCCTGGGGCTTTCCTGGACTCCACACTCTCGCGTACTGGGACATAACAAATCCCACCTCCTCCAAGCCAGGCTCCAATACAAATCTGTGTAATAAGTCGGCCCTCACTTTAGGATTCTCTTTAAACCTAGAGGTAGCGAAACGGCCCGGCGGGTCTCGGGGCCCCTCCCCAAAGTCCTTCTGGGCCAGGCTTCGCCCCCAGCGCGTTCGGGCCCCGCCTTAACCCCGCCTCCGTCCCCAGATCCTCTCTCTCAGGCCCCGCCCCCAGTCTGCCCCTCCCTCCTACTCAGACCCATGGGCCCCTCCCCCCGCTGCTCACCCAGCAGCGGCCCGCCTCCTCCTCCTCCTGGTAGGCGGGGCAGAGAGCTAGAGGCGGCTCTCCCGGCGGCGGCACTGACTCCCCCTGGCGGCCGTACAGGCAATGACACCACCAGACGCCCAACAGCTCCGCCTCAAGCAGCGAACCGGCTCCGGGCACTGGTTCTGGAAGAGAAAGGGAGGAGGCTTGCGCTGCAGTGGTGTCCGGCCCCGGCTCCGCCCCGTCCGGCCCGAGCCGGGCCCCTGCTTACCCGTGTGGCCCCAGCGAGCCAGGCGGCAGCGGCTCCCGGGCAGGAAATAGTGTTCTGGGTGGGGTAGGCACACTGGCCGCGGGGCCACGCTCAGGTTCACGGGCGCGCGCAGCTGCAGCAGCGCCAGGTTCGAGGCGTCGTCCCACGAGGCGTTCTCATGTGGCACGAGGCGTGCCACCCGCTCCGCGCGCGGGCGCGAGGGCAGCATCACGCGCCAGTTGTCCAGGTCGCGGGGTGGGAGGTCTGAGCTGATGCGGCTGCGGGAATGGGAGACTGGGGACGTGGGCTGGATCCCGCATGCTCACCTCTAAACCTCCACCCGTGGCTCCAGGCAGGATTCTGCATCCCGGACCTGAGACCTGTGCACTCAGACCCCACCCCCACCCCAATCCTGGATCGAATTTGTATTACCCCTCTATTGGCCCCAGAGAGACTAGGACCCCGATTTTTGAGCTGGATCATACACATCCCAATGGTACCCCACTCCCCTATCCCTATCCTACCCAGGGGAAGGGCTGGGCCAGTTATATAGTCGTCTCAGACTGATGGGGGAAGGGGCAAGAATCTGCCTGAGACTGGGTTTTCACTCACCCTGGAAAGCAGCTGGCAGGTGCCAAGATCCAGCTTTCAGACACCAGTGCCCCATAGCAGGGTCTGGATCCTGGGACCATCACCTGGGCTTCCCAGGGCCAGGCCCCTGGCCTCGGGGCCTTCCCGCACTCTGAGGGGTGGGAGGCCTGAGTGAGGGGGCTTCCTGAACCCCAGGCAATTTCCACCTGAACTCAAATCTCCCAGATCCAGCTGACACCCAGGTGTCCTGCCCCCCCTCACCTGGCAGGGCGATGGTGCAGTTCTCATCCGTGGGCTCGGGGAGACCTGACTGGAGCTCCGGGGACTGGGTGGGAAAGGCAGGGCCAGGCTCTGAGCCCAACACCTGTTCCCTTATCCATGCCTCATAGGGAGCCACAGCAGTGAAGACTCCGGGGCGGTTCCTCCGTCCACAGCCAAAGCCAAAGCTGGTGATTCCCGCCTGGAACCATCGGCCACCTTCCTTGCAGACCAGGGGCCCCCCAGAGTCTCCCTGATGATAGATGACTTAGTGTCACGGGATCAGCCTAGAGACCCACCAGCTTATACCGGACCACCTCGCAAAGGTTCTACACCTCTTCTGGTTGGCCCTATATACAGCCACCTTCTCCTAGAAACCTTTGTTGGCTGTGCCTTGGCCTCCGTAATCCCTACAACTCTAAACAGAAGAAAGCCTTGTAAAGTAGAAAGGCTGATGAGCAGTCAAAGCCAGGAGCACCAAGCTAACGCATTAAAGGCCATGCCAGAGAGGCCTGCAGGTCTCACTCAGAGCCAATGATTCTTGTTCAATAAATAGTTCAAACAAACCCTGTCTTTGATTTCTAAGTTGTTAGAATTCCTTGTTAAAGTAAATCAGAGATGCCAGCATTCAGGAGGAAAAGGCTGTTGGAAATAGGCTATTAGAAAAGCAGCAAGAAGGGACAGTTTGAAGGCAAGTAAGGAGGAAGAACTACAAGGAACAGACACTAAAACAAGGGTTCTGGGGCCATTTAATGCTGGGGCATTGTCCCTAAGATATCACTATATTCCAGGTTAGGCACCTCTGTGACCCCAGGAGGGTTACAAAGAAGGTGCAGAATCCTCTAGAATTGTGCTGTCCAATATGGTAGACACTAGCCCCATGTGGCTATTTGAATTAATTAAAATTAAATTAAATGAAAATTCAATTCCTTGATCACACTAGCCACCTTTCAAATGTGCAATAGCCAGTGTGGCTAGTGACTATCATACCAGACAGTGCAGATAGAAAAGATTTCCATCATCATAGGAAGTTTTATCCGACAGCACTGGTCTAGAGGAAGTTCAATTGTTGGCAGTCCTGTTCAAGAAGGCAGGGATTATGTCCCTAGGTCCTGGAACTTCATAACTGGGAAGGACCCTGAAAACCATCTAGCCTGAATCCCCATCACCACCATGCATGCTTGAGTGCCCTCAAAGCTCTGTGCCATTGGAGGAACATTTCCGGGGAAAATGGTTAAAATATATCATGTTTTGGCCTTCAGCAGGTTATCGGGAAAATTCCCTTCTGTGAAGGATTAATTCATTTGAAAAAATAACTGTTTGTTGAGTATCTACTAAGTAATAGGTGCTGTGCTATAGGCTAGGATATGGGATAGTAATATAATGATAATAATAATAGTAATAATAATAGCTAACACTTATTTAGCTCTTACTAAGGACCAGGCACTGTTCTAAATGTTTTTTACATGTACAAATTTATTTAGTTATCATAATGATTAATAAATCATATGATGATTTATTTAATCATCATAACCTCCCGACAAGTAACACTATCATCCCCATCTCCCAGATGAGAAAATCTGCACAGAGGTCAAATAACTTGGCCAAGGCTATGCAGCTAATAAGTGGTGGCACTGAGCTTCTAACCAGGATAACACTCCAGAGTCTGGCATGTGACCACTGCACTACACTGCTATCGATAACAGTGCCCATTTGTTGAGCCCCAAGTTCTGTCCATTGGTAATCTTCACATCAATCCCATCCACGGGCAATCTTGCCCTCTTTTTGCAGATGAGGTTCAGAAATATGAGCGAGATGGGATTTGTCTATTAATCATACTGCTTCCTATTGGTGAGGGCTCTGCCTGGCCCTTCAGGCGGGTGCAGGGGCCTCCCCTCACCTGGCAGGTGTCCCTGCGGCCCTCTGGGTAGCCAGCACACAGCATCCCTGGCAATAGCTGGAAAGTGAGATTGAAGGGACCAGGCCGGCTGTAGAGACACTGACAGGCAGCTTCTCCCAGCACCCTTAGCTCCACTTCTTGTAGCACCCAGGGGAGAGGCAGGGGGTCTGTGGGCAGAACCAGAGAAGAAAGGCTGTGAGTCAGGAATGCAGCCCCCTGTTCCCCAGGGCTCAGCTTGGTCCCCTCCAGCTGCCTCCCGGACGTCTTTGTCTCTGCCCCCACCGCATCCCAAACCAATGTCCCCTCCCACTCCTCTCCGCTCTTCTTCCAAAAGCCTCATCTCAGGAATGGCCCCATCAAGCGTCCAGTGCGGGCTGCCCTGGGGCCCCACCTGGTAGCCTCCACCTCGCCAATAACCCACCTCCTGAGACGCCCACCCCCGCCCCCGCCCCACTCACCGGCCTCCTGGACGTCCCCCCAGCCCGTGGCCCAGCAGGCGGTGCCGTGAACGAAGCGGTGCGAGGCGCGGGGCAGGCAGACGGGCCGCACGGCGGGGCCCAGCCTGGCGGGAGAGGCCAGGCGCAGCAGGGCCACGTCGGCACCCCTTTCCACGCCGCTGTAGTTGTCCGGCACCAGGATGGCGGCCACCGCGCGGACGTGCGCGCCGTCCAGGGGCCCGTCCTGGGAGTGCACGCCCAGCACTACCGACCACTCGGCCGCGGGCTCCAAGGTCCCATTCCTGCGCCGAGGCCAAGGCCGGGGTGGGGTTAGGTGGACCGCATGGAGGGGGCAGGCCTCGTGGGGCTGGGGGCTTGGAACCAGGGAGAAGGGGGGATCAGCGGGAAGCCAGGAGGGGCGGAATCCGATCCAGATTCGGGGCTGGGGCGATCGAGGTTGAGACAGACTCCTGAAAGGGGGAGGAGCGGTTGCGATTTGGAGGTGCTTGATGAGGGGCTTTGGAAAGGTGGAATTCAGACTCGGATATTTGGTGGAGTGGTGGGCGGAGTCTGCTGGCGGCCTCACCACACTCCGAACCTGGATACCCCGCAGAGCACTTAGCTTCAGGAGGGCGGGGAGGAGGGGGTAGCTGGGCTTCAATTTAGCCTTGAGTCCGCGGGACCCAGCTGCGGGGCGGGCTTGGCTTTTGAAAGAAAGGGGCTGGACGTGGGCGAATACTCACGTCACGAAACAGTGAGCGGCCGAGAGGACCCAGGAGGGGGCGATGAGGGAGCCCCCGCAGATGTGGCCCCCGCCCTGATGCAGGCTCACCTGCCACGGCCAGGTGCCCGGCTGCGAGTCTGAGCCCCCCATGATTCGGGCAGAGGGCTCAGGGCGACCGCAGTCTGCAATGGGATACCGTGGAGGTCATCACCTGCCCCTGTCCCCCAGGCCAGAGGCCCAGGTAACTCAGGGCAAAGCCCCACCCCCCCCAATCCACTTCAGTTTGCCCCCGAACAGGGAACAAAGAGAACCTGGGCACTTCTAAGTTTCTGATCATTTCCGCCTCCCTCATCGCTTAGCCAGCTTTAACCTCTTTTAAGATCTGAGGACCAGCCCCCACCCTTCCTTACCCAGATGTTCAGGTTCTTCTTGGGTAGGACTGAGAGCTGGGAGTCACAGGGTAAAAAGAGGAAGATATTGGCGACATCCAGCCCTCGACAGTGCCCAGCTGCCATCTTCCTACTTTCCTCTTCCCCAATTCCCTGCCCTCTCAGCCGCCCTGCCAGCACCCATGCTACCCCTCCCATCTTTTCTGCCTCTGTGGGTGATATTCACCTAGTCCAGCTGCCTTACCTGAGTCCTGGAAGGCTCCTGGGATGGGGCTTATGGCTGGAAAGATGGAGGCAGGAAGAGGCTGGAGACCTATTCTCACAACACACCCTCCCTGACCCCCTCCCCGCAAGCTATACAGGTACTCCATCCCCCCATGGCGCCCAGGCCTCCTTTCCTCCTCCTCTCATATGCTATTCCTTCCCCTCTCGACACCTCACTCCCACCTTCGCTGATGTCCTCCTCCCCTGCCTCCTCTGACACCCCACTCCTGAGGCAGACCCCTGGAGTCCTGCTTTCCAGCTCCCCAGATGTTAGAAGCCAGGCCCCTTACAACCATGCCCTGTCCCCTGAGGTTACCAAGGATGGCAAGTGGGAGAAGCAGGTGCTGGGACATGGTACATTTGAGTCAGCTGGAGGCACAGAGATGGGTGAAGATCTGCTCCCTGCCACAGCTCTGTCTGCCTAGGCAGCCCGTGACTCCTGATGGTCCCAGGGACAGCCCCACCCTCCCTGGCTGGAGCCCATCTCTGGGAATCTGAGTGGATCTGGGGCTAGAAGGAGGAAGTAGGGAGCCTGAAGTCCCCACCCAGAGCCCTGTGCACGTCTCAGGTCTCTAGAGGCCCGGTGTGGGTGTTGGGGGCAGGTGTCCTCGCTCCAGGACACTTACTGGGTGGGAGAACCCGCAAAGGCGGAAGGAGAGGACAGCCAGGGGCTGGGAGGCCAAAGTTCTGGGTCCTTGGTGAGGCAGGGCTGCAGGTCAGCAGTGGCCCTTGGGACAGAGAAAGTGGCCCCTCAGTGGCGCGACTCACCTGAGACTTCATCTCTCTTTGGGGTGTGGCTACCCCAATGGCTTGGCCTTTTCTTCTCACACAGCTCTGGTTACTGGAGTCGCTGGCCAGGTCTGGGACGGGAGCCCTAGGGAATTCGATCCCATCCCAACAAAAGGATCACAGATTCCGGCAGGTTGGGCAGGACATAGGATTCTGGGAGGGGGCTGGGCAGGCTGGTAAGGCCGAGAAAGACTCCACCCTTCTTTGTGTTAGCGTAAGTACTCTCAGGTGTTTTGTCACTTACTCTGTGTGACCTTAGGAAAGTCACTCAACCCATCAGTATATTCAGTAGGAGTCTACTTAAGAAATATGGTGCCTCAAAGAGGAATTGAGGAGAGTTTAATGAAGGAACTATTTACAGAGGTGTAGGCAGGGAACAGGGAAACCGACAGGGATGGTGAAGCACCCGGAGGCTAGCAGTAACAAAGAGCCCTGCATGAAGAGGCAAAGAGAGGGAGCAGATACTGGAACAGGAAAGAGAGAGCTGGGCTGTAGGAGAGGGCCAGCCAACAGGAGTGCCTTCAATGGAGGAAGGCAACCTTTATCAACCTGTGGCTCAGCAGGGAGGGAGCTGGGAAAGAAAAGTCCCTATCTCTTCTCCTACTCTCTGATCACCTGCCAGCTCCTCCCATCATCTGAAACCTACCAGAAGTCAGAGTGCAAGGGAGCCCATGATGTGGTCCATAAAGGTCACCCTCTGGGGGAACAGATCAGGATGGAGAAGTGTGGGAATGGAAATGGAGGGTCAAACAAAAAGTATCCACACAAGTATATCTATTTTCTTATCAATAACATAAGCTAATAATAACAATACTCTATTAGTCCAGTTTCCCTAGAAAACAGAGGCCTAGGCAAAACCTACATGCTGTTTCTTTTTTGGCAAGTACAATCCCAGGGCAGCAAGAGTAAAGGAAAATGAGAAGTGATCAGGGAGAGAGGAAATGCAAATACAGAGACCCAACAATTGATTGACTGGATTCAGCTGATAATCTTGTTAACCTTAGCTAGTCCGTGGCAGGAAATGAAGGTCAACGTGGTGGTGTGAATATTACTAAAGGGAAACCTCACTGAAATGGAGTTGGGAGGCCAGAAGGGGGAGCTCTCACGCACATACTACTTGATGTCAATAGAGTTCCCAACTGGAAGAGACCTCGGTTTGCATCTCCAGCAGGAAGTGACACTACTTTTCTACCCCCAGGAGGAGGAAGAAAGATTTTCTCCCTGCCTGGCAGCAGCTCAGCCAATGAGAGACTGTCATAACTCAGACAGTGAAAAGCCACTATACTTTGAACTCCCAGTTTCTCCGAAAGGACTTTTTGTTTATAACAGCCCCTCTCAACTTTCCCCTCTCCTCTATAAAAGAGTTAACTCTCCTTTGCGTTATCTGGCTTGCATGTGGTTTGCCATAGTTGCATGTCCCGAATGGCAAATCTCTGTGGCTCCCGAATAAACCCATTTTGCTGGTAAAATAACTGGTTGTTGTATTGTTTTAGGATAACAACTTCAGACTTGTTAACACAATCCTTGGGTTTCTAAGTCTCCCCCAGCACTTATTTGTAGGCATTTGCCCCTCCAAAGATAAAGAACCAGTCGTTTATTCAACAAACACTCAGAAAAATGAGGCATGGGCAAAAAGAAGGTAGGAAGAAGAGGGTGTGGAGAGTGGCTAATGCAAAGCATGCACGCCACGAAGACCCTCACCTACAAACTGCTTCCTCCAATTCAGCAGTTAAGTGTTTTGGTCTCAGGACCTCCTTAGAAATCTTAAAAATTATTGAGGAATCTGAAGAGGTTTCGCTTATGTGCCTTATATCTATCAATATTTACTGCATTTGAAATTAAAACTGAGAAATACTTGAAATACATATTAATTCATTAAAAAGAAATTCATTATGTTAATGTAAATAACATATTTTTATGAAAAACAGCTACATTTCCAAAACCAAAGAAAAGGTGAGAAGAGTGGCATTGTTTTACACTTTTGCAAACCTTTCTTAGTGTCTCGATTAATAGAATACAGCTGGATTCTCATATCTGCTTTTGCATCCAGTCTATTGGGACATCATGTGTCAAGAATCCTTTGGAGGGCTTCCCTGGTAGCACAGTGGTTAAGAGAGGACACGGGTTCGAGCCCTGGTCCGGGAAGATCCCACACGCCACGGAGCAACTAAGCCCGCGAGCCACAACTACTGAGCCCGCGCGCCTAGAGCCTGTGCTCCGTAACAAGAGAAGCCACCGCAATAAGCCCGCACACCACAATGAAGAGTAGCCCCCACTCGCTGCAACTA